ACAAGCAAACAAGAAAAATTCCCAGGAGACTATACCGTCACGCGCACTCTACGAGACAGAAATCGGCGTGTGCGCGCGATTATAACGCGGAAGAAAATCCTCAGCGTGGCGCAGGAGGAAAACTCCGCAGGATCTCCTTCCATAAAAACCGGCACGGAGGCGCCCACAGACGGCTGAGGCGCCCGTAGACTGCCGGCGAGCTGGTCGAATCACTTGCAGGAGGCGCGGTATCTTGTCGATGGTCGCTCATTCCGCTAGAGGCGCAGGCCTTGCACTGGAAGAACTTCTGCATCGGCGTCGTGGGCCGCGTGATTTGGATGGCGCTCGTCTTGCAGATGCCGACGGCGTTGTACAGTGGTCGTCTTTGGCACTGGTGAAACGTAAGCGAGGCGGGCAAAGTCATGTGAGCGCCTATTAATAAGAAATATTGTTTGTTTGCCCTCACACCGACAGGGACCCCGCAAAAAGGGGCCGACTCAAAATTTGTATTCATCTTTTTTTTTTTTAAACGCAAATTGTATCACTGTACATTATATAATTCTGTAGGCAATACATGTATATGTACCGAAGCAAAACAAACATTCAACATAAGATGGTATCTCCACCAAGACACCCCGAGCATTGTAAGACACCATGCCTGAATTTGTCAAGACCCCCGCCCTCAAAAAAAAGCCGACTGTACTACCGCCAAACTTTTCAGCCCTGGTCGGCGTGGAGGGCAAACAAACTATTTTTTTAATTGTGGCTCAGTTTCGGCAACATTCGCAGGCTAACGCTTGTAACAAGTCCGCGACTCACAAGACGACAGCGCTTATCTACGTCTACTGGCGGTGACTCTGTGGTGCGAAGTGGTGGGATTCTAGTAAACCCTGTTAGTCCCAAATGTGGTTCACATACATGCGAAACAGTGGAATGAACAAGGATGTGTACAGGAACCTTCTTCAAAGGAATGTTCGTGGATATCGTTATGAAATTGCCACGAGATGCGCGTAACGTTTAAGTGTCTTCAGATTAAAGATGGAAGCTCCCATCGTACGTAGTAGCAACAACTATTTGCAAGACAGAATCAGGAGTACCGAAGTGATGACGTCACGGTGGCATGGACAACGAACCTACTGGTTCTACACAATCAGCCGCCTCGCTACCCACTCGCCAATAGCGCCAATGGCGAACAAATTAGTAATCTGGCGATGAAAGTCTATTATTTGGGCAAAAAAGTGACGAACGCAATTTTCCCGTAACTAAACATGACCCAGCAAACATCAATCCTATTGATCGTCGAAACAGCAACGTTTCTTTTTGCGTGCCGCACACTCCTGTGTCATTCCAATGCAGCTTTTCCTCGATTCCGAGAAAGTTTGCTGTCGCTCCCGTCATACCAGCGCGGTGCTCACCCCTACATATACAGCAAGTAACCACGCCCACGCGACTGTAACAATCAGTGCATTCGCGCCCCCCCTCCCCTACTTCAATCAATGCCGCCCCAGCCAGCAAGCACGAGCCAAGATTGTGCACAGCCACGGACCTGGGCCGCACGGACAGCGGGGTGTCGGCGGGCTGCCTTTTTTCGTTTTCTTTTCTTTGGCTGTGAATGCGTTGAGAATGCGTAGGGCATCCGGAAGCGCGGGAGAATGGTCCAGATGCGTGAGTCTCCCACGAAATGCGCAGCGTTAGACTTAGTAGGTCTGCTAACAGAGCAAGATTAAACTAAAGGGTGAAAGTTTTATTTTCGCGGGCTGCCATCAAATGCAGTCTAAGACATTCAAATGTTTTAAATTTTGCTGGGGAGACCCCAGAACCCCCTCTACCTCTCTCCCCCGCGTCTGCCTGCAGAATCCACATTCGTGCTTACTGCACGCCTTTGAATCCATCATGTGCGTTTTTCCCCAAACTGGGATTACCACCGTTTCTAATTTTCCCTCAGAAGAAACCCTGTGTTTAAAAAAGGCCTGTCTCCACACACGGCACGGCACGGCAACGGCGCTGGCAAAAGTCAAATGATTTTTACTACGCGTCTGCGTGCACTGTGGTGTGTGCACGCGTGCATGCGTGCGCATGCGTGTAGGTGTGTGTTTGTGTGTGTACTGTGTGTGAGTACTGTAAAAAGTATAAAACTGATAAGTACTAACTGGTAATATAGTCAGCTTTGATGAGCAGCTAATTTTTCTGGCTCAATAGCATCCGAAGTTACAAAAGTTAGTAGAGTATATCTTTATATACCTTCTTTAATACGCTCTTGAGTATAAGCATGTGCTGTGAAAAACTCTTCTGTAAACTATTAGTATACTGTAAATAACTATAGTGTGTGTGTATAGTACTGTCTATACTGCACTGCGCGCCGTGCGTGTGTGACTCTACCATCCACAACAGTTGATGTGGAGAGGCGTTTTAGCAGACATAATTTGGTGTAAAACAGCTCTGAGAAATAACCTGAAAACAGAAAGTTTTTGTGACATTCTAACCATCAAAATTGAAGGACCAGAAGAAGAGATTTTTGACTTTGAAAAGTGCTATTCCAGTGGTGCCCAAAAAAATAGGAGAATTTTACTGCCAGCAGTAAAGGAAAAAATTCAGACAATGTTGAATGTCTCTGTCAGCAGTCAGAGTCATGGTGGTGAATCATAGTGTTAGTAAGTGTGTCAGTCATAGACAGGTTGGTGAATCATAGTTTGTTTGCATTAAATAAGTGTAGTTTTGTACTTCATGCATATAAAAGTTTGTGAAAAAATAAGAAAAGAAAATTATTCAGCCTTTTTGTGTTCAGAAATGTTAGGCTACAGATGTGCTAACAGGAATCCAAATTGGCTAATGAAAATGATTCTGGCTAATTGTTTGGCACAGGAAAAAAAATCCTAGCTTAGGGCCCTGACAATCATATGCCCTGTAACATTAACTGCGTGTCGTGTTTTGTACCCGATTGTAACCATCATTCTGAGAGTCATTATTGCAGTTTTTATAAGATTTCCGAGGATGGAAGTGAAAAGCAAAAAAAAAGAAAAAAATATTAACAAAAAAATTTGAAAAAAAAATGTAATTTTTTTTTAATTCATTAAATATTGTAAGATCGACTTGGCTACCTGATGCTTTACCGCTGTCTGCAGCGCACACCACTCGTTGTTTACGTACGAACAACATTTTCACGCAGTTAATTGTTATGGAGCCAGTGGCTTGTGTAGAACCAGCCCCGTACGTTGTCTGCCAACGTGACGTCACACTTCGGTACTCTATAGGTAAGCACTCATCCATTTACCTACGCAAGCCTACAGATGCTGCAATAGAGTGCTGCCACCTGTAACGCAATTAACGCAGGCAAAAACTACATAGTACCACCACCACATGCACTGGCAGTGGCCACTGGCAGTGGCATACGTTACATGTAACATACTGACAGTACAGAATGCCATAGAAATTATACGATTTAAGGAGCATAAACCTTCTTCAACCAATTTAGCTTTTGAATTCACTGTGACATTGTAGCCTCATACATCCAGGCATGGTATAGATTCTACTAGCAAAAAATCCATGTTTAACCCTCCTCTTGAGGGTCAAAAGGTTATCCGACACACTTACTCTTCGCATTTCAGCAGAAGGTACATTCATGCGTCCTTTCAATAAAGCCATAAAAATGCTAGGTCACCGCTGAATACAAAAAAGTTTTTAATCGCCGCTCCGTCAGACCATGTCCTCAGAAAATGTCTAAAATCTGCCCTGTGCCCTTGACCTTGACCTGTGACCTCAATTTCGGCACAGTGATGGCTTTTCCTACCATGATTGCTATACACCGACTATCACGAGCCTTAGGTCGAGCCGTTTAGATTTGTGCCGCAATTCTGCATTCCTCCCTATACCTTAAGTTAAGGAGTGAATGTTCCCCCTTCCTTTACACCTCTTGACCTTTGACCGTTTGACCCCCCAGCTTCGACATCCCAACATCGTTTTGACGATCCCCCCAACGTCCCGAATATCGTGACCGTACGTCGAGCGGTTAAGATTTGTGCCCAACTGTTGACGGACGGACGGACGGACGGACGGACGGACGGACGACGGACGACGGACGGACCGACGGCCGACGATCATGCGATTCTACAAGCTGCATCTGACTACGTCAGATGAGCTAAAAACTTAGCTGATGAGTTCTCAAAGCTGTTCATTATGTAATTATGATTGTAATTGTACTTCTGTATGCTGTAATTATACTCCGAAATTACTTTTTTTGGCTCAAACCGAACTGCTATGCTTGCATGATTGTGATAAATATAATTATTCGAACATTGAAATGTTCAAAATTGTGAAGTTCATTAACAAATAACACATATATCGCTGTTAAACGTCATTTTAAATAACTATAAAAATAAATACATGTAAAACCTTAAAACTCTCTCTCTCTCTCTCTCTCCCTCCCTCTCTCCTCCTACCTTCTTGCAGGTGTACGCCACACACTTGGTGCTCATCGTGGCGGCCATCTTTTCTTCGAGCGTCTCCTTCTTCTCGAGAAGGTCAAAGTACTTGTCTCGTTGCTCCACCTCCGCCTGCAAGCATCGTGTTTATGTCGACGTTTCACGACAATGATTGTCTAGACGCCACCCGTCTCATCCCCAGCGCCTCCCGTCTCATCCCCAGCGCCTCGCGTCTCGTCCCCAGCGCCTCGCGTCTCGTCCCCAGCACCTCGCGTCTCATCCCCAGCGCCTCCCGTCTCATCCCAGCGCCTCGGTGTCATCCCCAGCACCTCGCGTCTCACCCCAGCGCTCGCGTCTCGTCGCCAGCGCCTCGCGTCTCATCCCCAGCGCCCGCGTCTCATCCCAGCGCCTCGCGTCTCATCCCCAGCGCCTCGCGTCTCGTCCCCAGCGCCTCGCGTCTCATCCCCAGCGCCTGCGCGTCTCATCCCCAGCCCAGCGCCTCGCGTCTCGCTCCCCAGCGCCTCGCTGTCTCGTCCCGGCAGCGCTCGTATCTCGTCCCCAGCGCCTCGCACCTCATCCCGCGCCTCGCGTCTCATCCCCAGCCTCGCGTCTCATCCCCAGTGCCTCGTGTCTTCATCCCCAGCGCCTCGTGTCTCATCCCCAGCGCCTCGTGTCTCATCCCAGCGGCTCGCATCTCATCCCCAGCGCTCGCGTCTCATCCCAGCGGCGCATCTCATCCCCAAGCGCCTCGCGTCTCATCCCCAGCGCCTCGCGCTCGTCCCCACGCCTCGGTCTCGTCGCCAGCGCCTCGCTCATCCCAGCGCCTCGCGTCTCGATCCGCCAGCGCCTGCGTCTCATCCCCAGCGCCTTCGTGTCTCATCCCCAGCGCCTCGCACCTCATCCCCAGCGCCTCGCGTCTCATCCCCAGTGCCTTACGTCTCATCTTCAGCACCTCGCATCTCGTCTCAGGTGGATTGGAACAATTCACACGTGATATATATATGTGCGAGCGTGCGTGCGAGCGTGCGTGTCGAGCGTGCGTATATCAGGTAAATAATGACATAGTAATTCATGTCTGCTGTTATTCAACCCCAAGATATATATACTGTTCTATATATATATATATATAAGTATATATATATATATCAAGAAGCCTTCTTAATATGCTCTTGTATATATATATATATATATATATGATTTATGATGCTGGCTAGCATTGCCTACTTGCACATAAAAACTGGAATGACATGTCACCTCGTCTACAGTATCCTGGTGGGCCGACTTTCTGTTTAGCATCTGCTGAAACTCCTTTGACTTCAAGTCAACTTCGCCGAGTCGCGCTCGCTTCGACGCCGGCGCGTCGTCAGTGGCGCCACCTGCATGGTGAAATCGTTCGTTCCAACCGAGTGTCAACATGTGCGCGGGTTAGTGCTGAGAAAAATGTGGCTGTGTGAATAGGAAACCCAGTCTACTGTTGTTGTTGTTGTTGTTGTTGTTGTTGTTGTTATCGTCGTTTTTGTCACTGTTGTTGCAGTAATTGTCACACTTCTTGTTATTGTTTATGTTGGTGTAGGTTGTTGTTGCTGCTGCTGTCATTGTTGTTGTTTGTAGTCCTTTTGTTGTTGTTATTGTTGCTAAATTGTCGTTTTTGTCACTGTTGTTGCAGTAGTAGTTGTCACGCTTCTTGTTATTGTTTATGTTGATGTAGGTTGTTGTTGTTGTTGTTGTTTACCTATGCTGAGATGTTTGTTGAGGCGTTTCTCGACACGCACGCTGTTAGGGTCTCACTTCTTGTTATTGTTTATGTGTTAGTGTAGGTTGTTGTTGTTGCTGTTGTTGTTGTTGTTGCTGTTTTTGTTGTTGTCATTGTTGTTGTAGGTTGTTGTTAGAAGTGCTTTTGTTTCTGCTATTGCTGTTGCTGTTGTAACTGTTGTTATTATTGCTGTAGATTGTTCCATTGTTGTAACTGTTGTTATTGTTGCTGTAGGTTGTTCATGTTGTAACTGTTGTTATTGTTGCTGTAGGTTGTTCCATTGTTAGTAACTGTTTGTTATTGGTTGCTGTAGGTTGTTCCATTGTTGTAACTGTTGTTTATTATTGCTGCGTAGATGTTCCATTGTTGTTGATAACTGTTGTTATTGTTGCTGTAGGTTGTTCCATTGTTGTAACTGTTGTTATTGTTGCTGTAGATTGTTCCTGCCATTGTTGTTGTTTTTGCTGTTGTTGTGATCATTGTTAAATTGTTTACGTAGGTTTAGGTTGTTGTTGTTATTGTTGTTGTTGTTGTTGTTGTTGTTGTTGTTGTTGTTATTGTTGTTGTTTACCTGTGTTGAGATGTTCGTTGAGGCGTTTCTTGACACGCTCATGCTCCGTGTCCGGCCGCACCATCGCGCGCACGGTGTTAGGGTCCCGCTTCTTGTTATTGTTTACGTTGTTATTGTTGTTGTTGTTGTTTACCTGTGTTGAGATGTTCGTTGAGGCGTTTCTCGACGCGCTCTCGCTCCGTGTCCGGCTGCTCCCTCGCACGCACGCTGTTAGGGTCCCGCTTCTCAATCGTCACCCGGCTCGCCCTCACCTTCTGTATGGCCTTCAACTGTGAACAAACAACGTGAGGGAAAAAATAGCTTCGTAACATGGAAAATAAACCAAAAAATAACAAAGAATAATAATAAAAATAATATTAATAATGATGATGATGATGATGATGATGATGATGATGATGTGTGGTGCGAAATTGGTCTTACGTATTCTACCGGAAGTGAATGAATGAATGAATGAATGAATGAAGGATGGTGTTTTTATTAATTTACTTCTTATTTTACGAAGGTCGGAGTGACAAATTTATTGGCATGAACCTATTGAAATTATAACTTACTTTATTATTTTGCTACATTATGAAGGTAAATTGCTTTTTCATATTTATTCAAGTGTTATATGTTTTATGTGACAGGAAAGTGCATGATCCAGCACTGCTCTTCATTTTATGATATCATGATATATATATTATGGGAGCCACTATCGTTGTTGTAATATTAGTTTTACTGCATGCAATATGTATATTCCATGGATCATGGGTTTGGTGTTGCATGGTCATGCCATTGTTTTTAATAAATTTGCAAAGACATGAGCTAGCATGTGTTTTTTCCTTATGTTGCTTGTTCTTGCTGTTCCTCAATATTCGTTGTTGTTGTTATTATTGCTCCCGTTAGTGTTTACGTGAAATAACCCACCAGGTTCCCATGACAACAGGTAAAACAATATATAACAAATTTAAACAAACGTGAGTAGCAAGACCTGAGAACAATATATTCTGTTCTCATGCAGCTAGAAGCACAATACACATTCTAGTTGCCCCCCTCTATCAGGAGTGAAAGGTCCAACCAGAGAATATATAGTCGGCTAAAACGTGGTTTTACACTGTTTACATGGCTTTTTCTGTATCTGGATCTCTCTGTTACTGGTCCAACTAACGAAATGCCAAAGTAACGAAAGCGTGTATAAATGAAAAATAATCTCAAAGAGATTATTTACCCCTGCATGGAATATTTAGTTTTATTTTTTTAAGAAGCACATTGAATATGTTACGTAAATTACATATATAATCATTATTACATATCATATATCATCTTATTACATATTAGCATTTTTATCGCGCGTTACAAACAGCTAGTTTGTGAAAGAAAAACCATGGAAAAATTAAGGAATAATTAGAAAAATCGACAGCGGCCATCTTGGTTTGTAAAGAAGCGCATAGGGGAGACCGGGGACAATTGTAACACTTTTTTTCCAAATCTGACATAACAACTTTATTATAGTTAAATACTTACTTCAAGGTATATGAAATTAAAGATGCATATCTTGGCTTGAAATATGACTAGGTTTGGGTTAAGTAAAACAAGTTATTTTGAAGCCATTATCATTTCAAAACTGGAAGTCAAGTGTTACAATTGCCCCACAACACGGGGCAATTGTAACACATACAATTGTACCAACAAATCATATCCCTCAGAAAGATTTTTTATATTTTTTATAAAGGTGACACGTTGGACAGATTTTCAACAATTAAACAGCAATTTATAGAACCACAATAAAATAATTTTATTAAAAACTATGACGAATGCTTGACTCATTTACATATGAATAAAATATATAAATAGGCTACTTATTGCCTTGTGAACAAAACATATTTACAGACCCATTAATTCAAAGTTATGTAGTTCTCATGTCTGAGCTTATAGATAGGCTACTTTTTTGCCTTATAAACTTTGTAAAACACATACTTTTTATACATACAAGGGGCAATTGTAACACATACAATTGTACCAACAAATCATATCCCTCAGAAAGATGTTTTGTATTCTAGCATTAGATTCGTCATGAAACTTACCAAATACAGCCCTAAAAACCTATTTTTTTATGCAAACAAATGACTAGTGATAGCTCCAAGTACACTATTTGTCTCAAGAAAAAAAAACATTTAGGTAATTTCGAAATTTTTACTATCTGCTAAAAAAGAACGATTTTGGCTGTCAATTTTCTCGATGCGTAAACTGGCCTAACCCTCAGGACAGCATTGGGCAATGAAATTGCCATGCCGCTGTGAAGAGTCGTATACATATTCTACTAGGAATGGGCCTCTGTTACATTTGCCCCGTGTTACAATTGTCCCCGGTCTCCGCTACAGACAGCGATGTATGATGACTAGGACTCATTGTCCTTGGCCTTGTCCTTGACTCATGTCCCAAGGACTCGTTTGATTGTATCAAACTTCCCGTGGGACTACATGGCTGCAGATTCAACGAGCAGTGATGAGAAATGTTTAGGATGGAGTAAAACTCGACATTTTATACACAAAGCAGTGATTAACTTGGGAAGCTGTGAATTCGATTGAAGCTGAGTGAGTGATTGAGTTGTGTACGTGGTGTGTGGTGCGTGTGTGTGTCGTGCGTGTCGTGTCGGGCGTGACCGTGCGTCGCGTGCGTTCGGCGCAAGGCGTGTTTGGCGCATACATGGGCGCATGCGATGTGCGTGGTATCGCGCGCGGCTGCGTGCTCGCAACATGAACACAAAGCATCGATGGCAATATATAATTCCCTCACACTTATAATTAATTCCCTGCTTCTCTCCTAGCTGGTTTTTTAACCTCCATACTGGCATACATCGTCGTATAGCTTATACTGTCAGTTCCTTGTGCGCACTTACTCGGCTAAGATATAGGAAAACAATATTTCCTTGAAGGGGTTCAAAGAAGACATCTAAGATTTCCGCGTAGGTTGATCTGAAAAAAAAGGGTCTTTATTCCTCACGTTGCTAATGCCAAGATGCCCTAGTTTTCCTAAATTTTCCGCATACTCGAGAGAAATCAAATATTTACCTTTCTGTGCCGTTGGTCGGCGCTAGTGTCGCGCCTGAACGCACGATGGCAAACGAATATTTTGTTGAAATATGATGCTTTTTAAATTAGAGAGCGTCGAGTGACGAGTCGTTTGAATGCATATTACTACACAGTGTTCGCAAGATGGTAAAGCATGGATCGCGGAGAGAGACATTAAGTCTACGCGCTGTATCTGGCAGGCAAACGTAAAACCTGAAGCAGTTTATGCCATGAATTCACATTATTCCGCCTCGTTCACCAGCCATAAATGCGCAAGCGAATTCGCGAAATATATTAGTACGAATATGAATATATAATAATATATATATATATAATATATTATATATATAGCGTAGGTATATATTTATATATATATAGTCGTACGGAAGCCGATAATTTTTCGCGTGTCTGTCAAAAGAGATTCATTGCGACGCCATTTTGCTTAATTTGGTGCCGAACCGTGTAGGTTTCGGTTGAAAAATCAAGCGGTATAAAAAATCGAGCGGTCGATGTTTCCTTTCTTTCTTTTTCTCACCCCTCCCATTCTCTCTCTCTCGATCTCTCTCTTTCTCTCTGTCTCTCTCTCTCCGTGGGTGCGCGCGCCGCGTGTTTGTGTGCGTGTGTGTGATGTGTGTGTGTGTGTGTGTGTGTGTGTGTGTGTGTATGATGTTGTGTGTGGTGTGTTGTATTTGTGTGTGGCTGTGTGTGGGGGGGAGGGGTTCTACTCCTCCCGTCACCTTTTCTGTTCATTCTCCTCCCATTTTTTCTACATTCTATTCTACATTTTATGTTCCTTCTCCTCCTTCTCTTGCTTCTTCTCCTCCTCATCATTACTATCATCGTCGTCATCGTCGTCGTCGTCGTCATCGCTGTCTCTCGTCTGCTTCTACTCTTCTAGCCGTTGTTCCCTGTGCGCCGGGTTGCTAGGGCGTGAGACGTAACGCGAGACGCAATGTGACGTCAGACGCGCCGCCATTTTTGTTAACGTGAGAGTTACTTAATTAGTTATTAGAGTAGCAATTATCATTTCCGGAAGCAGGCATCGATAAATGATGCTGTAGTTTGCTGCATGGCTGACATTTAAAGGTTACGGGGGACGGATGTATATGCATGGACTGTTGACTGTCCATCTGTAGCTAAAGGGGAACGTAATTTTTTTTTAAACAGAATCTAAGAGAGAGTGAGTAGATATAATCAAGAGCTCATAATAGAGATTATCTTAATTATGAGCTCTTGATATAATCAAGAGCTCATTTAGCTCTTGATCTAATTCACTTTCATCTATTATGAGCTCTTGATATAATGATATATAAGAAGAATTAATACAATAATGGTATATATATAATTATAATATATTTAAAAAAAAATATATATATATACATAATTATATAATAATAGATGATAATATAAGTCGAATATAAATAAATATAAAGATGAAGAATGCGATGTGGTCGTGATAGAATGCTCCCACACCTCATTTTTAAAGAGGGGGGGCGTTTTGAACATCTATCTCCCTCTTCACTTCCCACGTCTTTCGTATTTATCTTTTGAGATATTTTCGCGAGATTTTTTTCCGCGTGGCATTCCTCTTCGTTATTTCGTACCCATAATCAACCTCTTCTGCATTCATCCTCTTCGTTATTTCTCCTCTTCGTTATTTCTCTCTCAATTCCTCTGTTTTATCCCCCGTACCCACGGACCCTCCTCTGTGTGTGCCCTCACTGGTTGTTATCTTCCTTCTCCCGCACTCCCACGCTGCCATGTCTCATTCCCCCCACTAGTCACTCTTTATTATTATATTTCCCCCTACTGACTACTGCACCCCTCCTCCTCTTCTTTCTCCTTCTTTCTCTCGACGTCGTACGTGCTTTCCGCATCTTCTTCTTCGTCGTCTTCTTTTTTTTCTTCTTCTTATTCATCATCATCTTCTTCTTCTTCTTCTTCTTCTTCTTCTTCTTCTTCTTCTTCTTCTTCTTCTTCATCTTCTTCTGCTTCTTCTTCTTCTTCTTCTTCTTCTTCTTCTTCTTCTTTTTCTTCTTCTTCTTCTTCTTCTTCTTCTTTTTCTGCTACTGCTGCTTCTTCTTCTTCTTCTTCTTCTTCTTCTTCTTCTTCTTTTTCTTCTTCTTCTTGACTCGTGCACGTTTCCCCCTCGATGCCTCGCTCTCTAGGCGACACCGAGTAGCCTCGTCTACTCCGGCTCTAGATTACTGCATCGTTGC